AAGCTGTTTCGGCTCCCCAACCTTGCCAAGGGTCCCCTTTGAACAGAGAGCACAGACCAAGGAGCCAGGACCCCAGGTTCTAATCTCTCTACTAAGTACAATCTACCGTTGACCTTGGGCGCACCAGTATTAGGCGACCCCAGGGAGGTACCCAGGCTGCAGAAGGTTAGGAGGTACGGCTCTCTCTCCAGTCCCAGCCTTTCCTCTCCAAGTTACCTGAGCCGTAGTCGGTCATTCTAGAGACACCTAGAGGTCCTGTGTCTCAGTGCCGGCTATCGTGAAGACACTGAATTTCCCAAGTTGGCAAGTGCCGTAAGTAGGAACAAGACCTTCAGACCTGCACATACTGATTATCTACAGACCCACAGGATCTCCATGCGATTGAGCTGGTCCCTGGATATGTTTTCCTGACATCTGTAGTCTGGCTTTTTTGTTTATCTAGTTTCTGATAATTAGTCTACTGAAATTCTTACTGAAAATACCTTTTCATCTCTTATAAACTCCTCAGAAAATAACTACACATATTATTAGCCAGGCTTTTTTAGCGCGTGTGCGGCTGCACCTGTGTGTGTACACACACTCGAAGTCGGAACAACCACTTCGGGCGTCGTTCCGCAGCGGCAGTCATCTTTTGTTTTTGAGAGGGAGTCTCTGGCTTGGGCGCTCCAAGTAGGCTAGGCTGGCTGGCCAGCAAGCCCCCAGCATGCACCTGTCTCTGCCTCCCTGAGCTGGGATTACAAGCGGATGGGATGCCTCAAGGCCCAGCTGTTTAAAGCCCGAGTTCTGGGGTTCAAACTCCAGTCCTCAGGCCAAAGAGCAAGTATTTCGCCTCCTCAGGCACCCCCGCTGTCTCACTGTGACTCATCTGTCTGTCCTCTCAATTTTCAAACTACAAGTTAAACTCTCGGCTGTTGCTTTCCATTCACAAAGGCATGCTGGGCAGGGAGGAGCCCAGTCCAACTGAGAACTACCTGACCATTTTCAACTTAGCTGGCAGGGACCGGAAAGCTAGCTCACGGCAGCCTGAGCACAGGAAGCTCAGAACGCAGCCTTGTCGCACGCAGCTGCGGCACCACACAACGTACCAGGTGAAAAAATAGGAGCCGCAAAATGCGCAGGACAGGCAGAAGGAAGGGGAAGGGTCATTGCTGGAGGAGTGAGCGGAGGTCTGACTCACTGAAGCCTGGGCTCCCCGATTAAAAACTTTACATGCCACAAAATCACATCCGTAGTTGTGTGTGTGCAAGCGCATGTGCATGCGTGCGTGTGTGCGTGCAGTTTCTGGAAACAAAGCCCCCAGACTGTTGAGTGCTGGAAACGGACAGAAGTGAGACTAAATCATCTCTGCAATTACAATGTTAATAAGTGAAAAGAAAGATTTTTTTTTTTACTTTCCCCTGTGAGTTGGACTTATCTTACACTTTGAGGGGCCTCGCAGTATGAGGGGCCAGTTAGCTGGGTAAAGGGAACATGAGGGGCAGTTTTGGGAGCTTGTGGGACGTTCTGAGAAGAGGCACTGACAGTTTGCCTAGCTCAGCTCCCGGAGGACAGTTCACACCACTCTGTAACACACGGTGCCTAACATCTCAATTTTCGGCAACATGGACTAGTGAGGCAGCTTGCTATGGTGGCCACGGAGGCTGGTCTGCCTATTACTTAGTAGTTAGTTGGCTTCTACTGTAAAAGGAGGGTGATGGGAACAGTAGCTTCTTGGAGGGCTGAGATCATGCAAATATCTAATGTGAGAAAGTGTTATGGTGGTGGAGCACTGGCTATGGCAGTGGAGCACTGGCTATGGCGGTGTGAGCACTAGCTATGGTGGTGGAGCACTGGCTATGGTGGTGTGAGCACTGGCTATGGCGGTGGAGCACTGGCTATGGCGGTGGAGCACTGGCTATGGCGGTGGAGCACTGGCTATGGCGGTGGAGCACTGGCTATGGTGGTGGAGCACTGGCTATGGCTGTGGGCATGATGAACTATCAGCTCTGGCCATTTCACTATTCCTCCTCCCCTGTGAGGATGCGCCAGCCTTAGGAAGTTTCACTACACTTTCTTCTTACTCCCCTTTCTGCTGACTGGAAAGCAGAGGGTGGCATTGGCTTTCCTTGTTCACTACACCTTGAGCTGAACAGTCCCCACCGGGCGCAGCCAACATGGAGGGGAACACAGTACCTTTGCTCCTTGCTATCCTGGCCGCAGACCACGATCTCCTCACTATCTGAGTTCCCTCTCAGACTCACCTTCTGGGTTCACATTCAATGTAATGAATAAAACCAGCTTTTCAATGCAAAGGAAATTTATGGTACTTCCAACCATAAGAAAGATGGGAAAGTGCATTACTGAGTGTGCAATGTTCCCCGAGTGGTTGACATCTCAGACTTTCCTTAAGACAAATAATCTCTAGAACTTTCCATGAGATAAGCACACCCCATTCCTCATTTCCGACCACACCTTACGTAATGTCACCGTACATCTGAACCATGACAGTTTTCTTAATGTGCACACTATTATTCTTCAGGATCCTAAAATTAACCTTTCCAGGGCTAATGCACTTTGAACATCTTTATAGCTGAAAAAAATTATTAATATGCAATGCCTCCACTTAGTTCCTGTTCATTGTTTCATTGACAAGATTCCTTATGGTGCCTAACTTTTGATCACAGAGATGTGTAGATGATGTTTGGAAGGTCTGGGACGGGGAGTCCCCTTAAATGGAGATGTCAACTCCAGCCAATTTCAGAATGGCTCACCATTAAGATGGATGTCTCCAAAGCCCTGTGCCTCTGCTGGAAATTAGAGAAACCATGGAATAACTGATTATGATTAATTTTAAGTGCTTAGCCATGGGAGGCCAAATGAGCAGCTCGAAAACAAAGCTATTGATCTGGCTTTGTTTGGAATTGAGAAGATAAAGGAATCAGATCCGCAGGCCTTTCACAATGATGAGGGATGAGACCCTGGTATTATTTTTATTACTGTTATTAGTATTTTGGTCATGGGTTTCTAGGTTTTAACTTAGCTACACCTGATATATCTGGGTATCACTTTTTACCCTAAGTAAATATCTGAGCATAGAGGAGTTGTCCAAATATGCCCTGGGCAGGAGTTTGACCCAGAAGAAGGCACAGTAGGGAGAAAGATGTGGGAAGCACAACATTTAGGGTCCCTCCTGTGTGGTCCCTTCTCAAAGGTGAGAGGTCACAGAGCTTGACCCAAGTCTATGGCTTCCTAGTTCCCACCCATGGGAGTCTATCCTTAGTGCTCCTTTCCCCCAAAGACCCCCTCAGACAACACTCATAGAAAACTAACCAAGGGGCTGGCAGGTCATCACAGCTGTTTGGTGGCAGCTGTGACTTCTACTTCTTCATTTCTTCCAAAGGAATTTTCTCATCTGTCTCATTCTCCCTCTCCAGGAGTAAAAAGGTGACAGGCTCCTACCAGACCTTCCTACAGAGGCTTTTTTGAAGGCAAGGAAAAATCATGCCTCCCTTCTCAATTCCAGTTTCCCAGCAGGATAAGTCCTGGGTTGCTAAATTCCAGCTGGCACACTCTCCCACAGACATGCAATTGTTGCCGGTTCCGGGGTCAGAGTTTGGGTGAGGAGAGACCATCCATCTCAGGACTGACAATCTGACCTCTCCTGCCTGTGGGTCCTGTCTTTTCTATGCCAGGAATCCTCAGCTTGCAACCGATTTCAAGTGGCTTGCAGCATCAGCATCCCCTGTATTTCCCGTGATTCCTCCTAGAATCACCTTCCTCTCTAGCAAGGTGGAGGGGAATCTTTCTAACCCACTGCTGGTGTCTTCCAGGTGAAAAGGAAGAATGTGCACCTTCCTTTATGTACAAAGGGATGCTGTAATATGTTCATTTATCGACCATTCATTCTTCCACTGCAAACAGGCACAGGAAACCTTTAACTATATGATTCACCCCCTCCAAGGATGCTCAACTCATCCTATTCTCTTATCACTCTGAAGCTAGCACTGCTCCAACGTAATGATTTTTGCAGATTTTGGAGAGGGCAAATAACTCTCAAGTTAGAGCAATCAACTCCTTTATTTTACGAAAGAGAAAACTGAGGCTCTGAGAGCCGAAGAGACTTGCCCAAGGTCACATGGCTAATTAGGGGCAGGGTAAGGACTGAATGGCACAGCCCCTGACCTACGTTCTCCTGTGCTTTATTGCTTCCTCGCCAGGCTTCCCCACATCAAGGGCAGCGAGCAGTGTACCTGCTGGGGACAGCGATCAAACTGTTTTCTAACACAATCCAACTTTAGTCGAATGACCCCAACGTGACCCCTCAGTGACTTTTCTCCAGAAAGTGGGTTTCTTTAGTTAGAGCACGTGAAAATCCAAGACATAGGAGGACAGTCTTGTGTGTGTATGTTTCTATATAAGGTACATACATGGTGGGATTTCAAGGAGGGATCATTTCCCCTCAGCTTTTCGTCCCCACTACTTTAAGGTTACTGTTTAAAGTTTGAATTGAAGCCGGAGATAAGATCTCAGGAACAGTAGCAATAGCTAGACCTTACCAGTCTGTCTGTCATTTCCCCTCGTCCTGAGTCAAGGTCCCTCCCTGCTTCTGGCTAATTCCAACTCACCTTCTGGTGATAACCCCTCTGTCACCGGCCACAGACCTGTAACCTGTCTCCTTGTATGCCCACACTCAGAGAGCCGCTCCCTGAATACACAGACAGATGCTGGGGGGCTATTCTGGCCATCTGCTCCAACAAATACAGCGGGAGCATGGGAGAAACGGCTTGACTGAGGAACCCCAGTTTGTGGGAGGTGAGAAATCACACTTTGCAGCCTGCAAACACTTTGGCCAAGGTAAGCCGGAGGGATCTCCCGGTGCCCGATTTTAATAGCATTGCAGCAGAAGACCCAGAAAAGCACCCACAAGGACCCCCCCTGCACACATGCTCCCCCTTTCCTCTCTGCACAATGTACACACTCTCTCTCGCACACACAAGGCAGTAATCGCAAAATCAACTCACAGGATCTCCAAATCGCGCAGCGCTCGGAAGGCTCCATCTTCAATGCAGCTGATGTGGTTATTGTCCAGTTGCCTGTGGGAAAGCAAGGGAGAGCATGAAGGCTGAGCAGGGGCAGCGGCGAGGGGCTGGGCGGCTGGGCGGCATCCCTGGCCGCCAAGCGCCTGTCCCTCCACCCGTTGCAGGCTCTGCTGGTCCCTGCCAGGAGCTCCTGCAGAGCCAGCCTGTCTGCCACGCTGCTCCGTCTCTTCTCTCTGACTGTCTGAGGGAACTACACAGGCGAGCGCCCCAAAGGCTGTCAGGTCTCAGTAAATATTAATTGCGCATTTTTTTTTTTTTTTTTTTTTTTTAGGCAGAAGGGAGTAATTTCATTACATTAGGGCATCCAATCCATTACGAGCTCTTACCGTCATGTCACTGAAACAATTTCATTAAGCTAAAGGCCTGTAAATCATTGGAGGTCACTGCTCTGCCCTCCGCGACCTCCCAGAATGCTTTTTTCCCCCTCTCCCCCGTCTCCCTTTTACTGGAAGTTACAGTCTTTGCTTTGACACAGCGCTAAATCTCAAGGCTTTATCTGCCCAAGAGCGGTGAGGGTGCGTGGGGAATATACCGATTCCAAATTAGACTCAACTAATCTAATTTTATAGTCTTTTTATTATTCTAAGCACCAAATGTCTGTGGTGGTTTGTTGTCTCCGTGCATTGTTATGGGGCCCATCTGGTAGGTCATTCTATGGGAACATTTTGTGAATAAATACAGATTCCCTCAAACTGCACTAACCACCATCAACATTAAAGAAATTCATTGATGGAAGTGTCTGTGATAGAAGAGAAAAAGGAATGTCGTTATTGCCTAAATGATGCACCACTTACATTTAAATTGGGAAGGATTAAATACACCTACTTTAGGATTCCTTTTTAATTTTCCTTTCCCATCCTAAATGCAGGAAAATAATGTATTTCTAAAAGATGCCTTGACTAATAGACATCCCAGTTGAGGACTAAGGGATTTTAGTAGAGAAGTAATACACAGACACCACTTTTTTTTTTCCTGTGCCAAGAATGTATATTATTTGATAAGTAGTAAGTTAGGTATTTATTACCATGACCACACCCAACTTATACTATATATAATACATCTAATTCCTAAAACGGCAATGCACAGAAAAGAATGTTGTACAGAAAATGACTATTAGCACCCAGTAATTTACTGTCCTTTGCAGAGGACGCCACTGTTGGGGCAAGCTGAAAGTGTGGCTGTACTTAAAACTTTTTCCGTGGACATTCATATGAAATGAAAAAAAAAAAAAAGAGCCCTTTTAATGTGGGTCCTTTCCTATGGCTGGTGTTTTGAGTTGTAACTTCCAGTAATATATACCAAATCAGCTCTCCACAAAACACAAAGTAACATTTGGTAACTCTCACAGAGGGCTTTATTTTATTTTATTTTTTACCAAAGTTAGAATTGAAACTAAAATATTATCATCATTGCAAAAGTACATGGATGTAGGTCTATAATAAGCATATGTAAGTTTCGGTGCTGTTTCAGGTCCTGCATGATATTATGAAACTGTATCGCCCAGGTCATCACTGTGCAAGGTTTAAAATGAATAATGCCCAGAATTGAAAGTAACTAAAACATGGGTCTCAGAAAGCAGAAGCATCCCTAAGGTTGACCAGTTCTCCACCTAGTGTTTCAAGTCCTGGTTAATGCTGGTGTACTAGGACTTACAGGTTCTTCAGTCCCCAATCTGTCTGGATTTTGTTTTCTGTTCTTTACACGATTTTGCTGATTTCTTTGGATCCGTACTGGGGCACCCACATTCTGGGCAGTGGTTCTATTAGGGCAGTCTAGTCTTGCTGCCCAGCTTCCAGATTTATCATCAATTTAAAGGACAATGAATCAAGAACCTCTGCTCTACGTCAAGGCCACCAAACCTTACCAAGCAGAAACTCGGTGGGGCTGGCTTTGGGCTCCAAGAAATTGTTCAACGAACATGCTGAATTCGGCAAAAATGCACCATCCGCCTAAGTAGAAAAGTATCTAAATCATCAGAGTGGAAAGTCTGGGGTGTGGGGAGATGGGAATTTGTGGTGAACCTGCTTGTGAGTGTGTGCATTCCAGAGAGCTCCCTGCAATTCTAGCACACTGCAAGCCGATGGATTTCCATTCCTTTTCTTTTTGAGGGTATCAGTAACCAAAGAGGAGATTCTAAACATACAGATTGTCCCCCCAAGGGAAAAAATGGAGTCTTCAGGAGAAAATAGCAAGTTATAGAAATAAGAATGGAGGAAATCCCATCATAGAATGGTGGAAAAAGGATTACAGGTTGGGGTGGGGGAGGGAAGCTAAGATGACTTTTAAAAATCTGAACTCAATGTTACACCAGACTCCTGAAGCCGAGCTCATGAGACAGCCTGGACAAGAGGATCCTGATCATTTAAGGCAAAATCAGAGAGGCTAAATACATCATTAATTGTGTGATGTTTAAGCATTTTCAGTGGGAGTCACAAATTGACACCCATTTGTTTATTCATAAGAGGGAAAATTGAGACGTAATATAAGCATCTCTGTGGCTGTATTTCATAGCTTACTTTAGCACATATGAAATCTATCAAAATTTAAAATATTTATGCTTATGTGTGCTTGCCCAGAGGACGTTTATTGTAATGGAGACGGCGTCCTTTCATTCTAACCGTACATAAACTGAACAGGACCTGTATCCCAGCCTTGCTAGTCAAAGGGCCAGGCTCAAGATGCACTGTTATGAAGTCTACATGGGTGCCCTGCCCCGGGGATGGGGGGGCAGGTTGTCAGGCAAATGGAAACCACAGTACTGACTCTACCACTCTGCACATGCAGCTTTGTAGAGCGGAGCATCCCAGGATTCACGAAAAGCCCAATTAACAGCTCACAGTCACTCCCTTTGTTTCATGTAAACACAGGGTCTCCAAACAAAGTGAGCAGTCGCCTGGTTCAGACAGATGTCTTTTCTTTTACACTTATTTATCTATTCGAGGGAGGGGGTGTGGAGGTCAGAGGACAACTTGAGGAACTCCAATCCCTCCTTCAACTATGTGAGCTCCAGGGACTGAACTTTGGTCATCAGGCTTGGTGGCAAGTGTCTTTACCCAATGAACCATCTCACCATCCCTAGATTGCCTTTTCTTTCCAAAATAACAACTCAGAGACATCAAAGTCCTAAGGCACACAAAAGGGGAGGCAAAAAAAAAAAAAAAAAAAGAAGAAGAAGAAGAAGAAGAAGAAGAAGAAGAAGAAGAAGAAGAAGAAGAAGAAGAAGAAGAAGAAGCAAGTTCAGCATTTTTTTGTCAGCGTTGGAACAGAGGACTAATAAACACACAGAGAACCTTCTGGTAGCTGAAGCCAAAGCATTTGATTTAGCAGTTTGCTTCTGAGAGTTCAGTATGCTGGAGGCTGCTGATGTGTATTCTAAGCACTTGGGTCAAAGGTCTGCATCACGTCTTTGAAAAAGATTCATTCAAAGATGCTCTTAAAAACGATGAGAAAAGCCCATAGTATACTCCATACCAAGCACACCATACTCAGGGGACATGGGCAAAAAGGACTTTGGAAATCTAGGCAGAAAGAGCCCAGCAACTGGGCATGCCTTGCTTTGCCCCTGTTCTTCCTGGATGGTGAGAAGCATATTTCTCATTGATGCTAAGTACTGTCTTCTGCTTAGCACAGGTCCATGGAAGAAAGTGCTAAGGCAAGAGCCACATGGTCCTGGCTGCTGCCCTGTGGCCCTTGTTATGACAAGACAGAACACCTAAGTATTATTTCCCTCCAAGACTATACAGGGCTCAGCACCTCCTGGCTCCCTGAGACACAGCCTCTCCCAGCAGGGATCCCATGAAGGAGATAATACGAGATTTCCATGGTCTTCCCAGGAAGTCTAGAAAGGCAGTGGATGGAAGAGCGAAAACCGATCTCTTTTTCTTTTTGAAGGTAACTCATCGTCCTCTACTTTATACAGAACACCTAACTTGATTTACACTCCTCGGTCTCTGAATAAGTTGAGAAGCCCCAAAACATTTCATGATATTAAATTAACCTCCCTAATTTCCCAGGGAAGCTTCAATTTCAGCAAACAATATGACTGCTAAAACGATCCCAGAGCCCATTTAGAAAGAAATCCTCAGACAAAAACTAAGTGCAGACTCCCTGAGAGCAGTGTTCTGACTACTGCGCTCTCACAGTCTGTGAAAATAAACAAGTTAGAAAGGAAAGCCAGCATGAGTGAGGACTTAAAGTAATCTGTTCGTACAGCAGACTGGGCGATGGCACTTCTCTGAGAACTCCTGATCCTAAGCGGAATATGCTCCGAATTATCACAGTTTGTCTCTTTAGCTTTCAGTTTCAATCTTCATAATTGGAGCAGGAGAGAAACATTTTTGCAGTTCAAAAATTCTTACAAAGCATGTGAAAATCCTTAAAAGAGGTGGGAGTTAGAAAAAAGCTGGTCTACAACGTTAACACCAATCCTCCCCACAACAATTACCACAAAAAGTAAGAAAAAAAAAAAAGAGTAAGAAAATTCCAAGACTTCAATGATGCATATGAGTCCCCATGAGAAATACCTAGAAAACAGAAATCTCCAGAAACAGGCCTTGGCTATTTGAAATAAGAGTAGAATTTCCAACATTTCTTATGCATACACAAGGTCTGCACACCCGGGCTCATCCCGCTGTTGTGGGGGCGATGAGCAGCATCTCGTCAAATGGCTGGTGAAACTCAGCCTGAAGGCATCATCACCCAGGGCCCCCAAAGAGCAGCAGCAGTAGTGGTGTCCTGCTTAGGAACTCCAGCTAGTGTCACCTCGGTCTTCCTTGTGTGACGTGAGAGAAGGAGCCGAGGCTGAGCATCCTCTCCAATTACACCATTTGCCATTTTCTGAACAAAACTATCTTTACAAAATATCCAAAACCAGCAAAGGACTTCTGTACAAAATTCGTAAGGGACGCCTTAGTAGAAAGCCAAACAAGCCTGTGGCCACGGACTAGTGTAACCTAGAATAGTCATAGTGTGTTAACAGAAGTTCACACTGCATT